TTGAGTCTAACAAGGTTGAGAACCACTGACCTAAGCACTTGTTACCATATGGAAGAAGTAATTGTTGACCCATTTCACCACACAACAAAATATAACTGTACTTTGACACCAGTTCTACTGAAGTGGAGTTACTTTATTTCAGAAAACAGCATGAGAGTATTATTACAGACCTACCAGACTTTGGCGTGTCACTTTTACTTTCCATCAGTTAGTGGCTGGCTTGTGCTCTGACAAAGATTAGTTTATATCCTTTTTAGTTTTCCCCATGCAATATAACAATGAATGTTTTTGTTAATCCTTATATATTTGGATTAATTCATGTTTTAATTATATAGACCTGACAAAATTTATGTAAGTGCTAAGAGTCAGTAGTATCTGTGGAAATGACTTTAAGTTCATGTATTATTTAAAAAGATACTTGTTCAGGATGAACTTGAGTATAGTATGCTTTAAACACAAGAGAGTGCTTGGTATCATAAGGCTTCTATACACATGCAGGGAGGCTGCTCTGATATGCTGTAGTTACAGTGCATCGGAGCAGACTTGATTAATCGAGTCTGCTGAAGCATGGGAATTCCCATGCTCCAGCATATTCCAGCCTCAGGTGTATCAGCGTCCCCACACTGAAAAATGGTGGTGGGGTGCTTTAAACTAAAGCTGGTTTGATGAGCTTTAGTTCAAAGTGTCCCACCACCATTTTTCAAGATGGGGATGCTAATACACGTTAGTCTGGGCGCTTTTAATTAGCGCAGCTCTCAAAGCTGCGCTAATTAAAGCGTCACCCTGCCTCCCTCCCCCCACCACTTGCTGCCTCCCAGAGCACATCTATAAACACCCATAATGTGTAAATACACTATGCAGCCTAAGTGTACAAAGGCTTTGCTTCTGCTCTTGCAGAGCCAGATAGGTAAACTTTCAGTTATGATGCGTGCTAAAAGAAAGTCTTCTCTAGTTTTAATCTGCCTTGTATTAATAGAGGGACACTACTGTACAGTAAAATTATTTATAATGCCTGTTTGCAGCTGATGTTGGTGGCATTTCTATGGTACAGATCAGCAGAAGTAATAAACAGTTTTGCTCTGACCGTTCTAATACCGGAGAAGTTTCTAATGCCATGTTATGAAAATATTTATCATCATGTAACCCCATTTCAGCAAAAATATGATCTTGAAAATGTAAAGCCTGAAGCTAAGAGATATTTAGATAAGTCAATTAAAATGGGAAAAAGAAATGGACTCCATCTTCCAAAAGAAGTGCAAAATGTGAGTATGAAATTTTTTTCAGTATTTTTGGTACAAATAAAAGAAATTCTCCATACCTATGTAACTGTTCTTAAAGTATATTTGAGTTTGTGTTTCCAGATCTCAATTAAGTGTTGGTTTGAGGCCAACTTTAAAGTGCTAGAGATGTAGAAATGATAAAAGACAGAAGGAAAAAAAATGTAAATATTTGAATATAAAGCCAAACTGTGGTTTATAATTTTAAATGGTTAGTTTTTGGCTGACCAACTTGTTTTAGATTTTCAGAAAGTGCTAACCTGCATACAGAAAAATTCAGGTCAGGCACCCAAAAATCAAGGTACCAAAAATCTTGGACCACAGTCATGCAAGGCACAGACAGAAGTGACAGTTGTCAACCAATCTGGCCACAGAAAGCAGTTTATAGCCATGACCAAACACAAGTGCACAGCTGCAGACAGTTTAAAAAATGTCCAATTGGGCAAAAATCTGACCCTTCATTGCATAAAGGGTCAAATGAAGACATTTCAAAACAGAACATCTTTTGCAACTTCTGTCTGTGCTGCCCGCCAGCCTCAAGCTGTTTTCACAATGGGAGTGGGGTAAAGGAAGCAGAGGAAGTTCAGTCTGGGGGGGTTTCAGCCCCTGCTGGAAGGTGAAGTAGGTATATTAGAGCCCCTCTTTGAGGTGGGGGCTCCAATTTACGCACCCTCCAGTGCCAGCTGGAGAGCCCCTAGAACAAGCTCCCTTTGCTCCCTTTCCCCCCTCCCATTCTGAAAACTTTGCCACCTCATAGGGAGGAGGGGCTATTGCTGGGGGAAACTGGCTGTAGGCTCCAGCAGCTAGATTCTCCCCTCCCCAAACAACAGTGAACTTCTGTTTGGTCCGCAGGATCGTTGTAACTCAACAGTTCCTGCAAAATGTTCTCAGTTACAGCGGAGAGCTGCACTTCTGTCTGTACCCACATTCAACAGTCAAGGTATACACCATTCTGCTAACTTCTATGCTGTGAACCTCTGTGCCTTTGACCACTAATTATTCCTTGCCCAAATCGTGTTTGATAAGAGCCTTACTCTCTATTAAGTTAATTTTCCTGATGGCTCTAGAAAAGCATTAGAAAGATTCTATTTCAGGAAATCGTTGGTGACTCAGAGTAACATGAAATCATAATTGATGCTTAAATTTCACCAGAAGTAGCAATGTTTTTTTTTTTGAAATACAACAAATGTGCAAATTTTTTTTTGAAATGTGCAAGCAATGCTGTATGTAAACCTAGGAATAAAAAGGAAATTAATCCCAGAAGTAAGACTGAAATGTCAAAAATATTCTCTTCAGCGATGTCTACATGCCAGCATTTAAAATGGTTTTGGAATACTGTTATCTTCTATGGGAATTGTTTTCTTCCTGCCATGTGTCCAGAGGGATATAACTCTGACTTGTTGCATTTGTGTGTGTGAGTATGTGTGCACACTCCCTTTTGGAGCATTAAGACAGAAGTTTCCATTAAAATACAGTAGCAATTTTTTAAAATCTTAAATAAGACAAATGGTATGTAGTACATAACACTATTTAGAGGCACTGTTTATGTGATTAATCCTCTCTGGGCTAGGAAAATATACTTTCAGCATGTTAGAAAAGTAATTTTTTTACATGCAGTTAAGATTACAGTTTTTGTTTTGTGACTGTCAGTTTGATTTATATCAATTTAGGAAATAAAGACAATGAAGAAAAAATTGAGTGAGCTATGTATAGATTTCAACAAAAACCTCAATGAAGAAAACACATTTCTTATATTTTCTAAGGATGAACTTGGTAAGTGAAGTATTGTCCTTTGGATCTACACTTTTATTTTACAGGGGTGTAGGCTGTAGCTGTGTTGGTCTAAGGACATACATCTATCCTATTTACATCTTCACTGACTGCCTATTTTGTATGCATACCAGCCCAGCCTCTTTACTTCTTATTCCATCCAGAAAGAGCACACACCAACTGCAGAAACTTCATCAGCCTGACAAAGGGGTTTTAAACCTGAAAGCTTGCTTAAAAATTTTTTTCCAACTATTTAAGTTGGTCTAATAAAAGATACCAGATTCACCCAAAGAACCTTGTCTGCCACTTCTATTTTAGGAATACTTTTTGGCATTTTGCTAAAGCAAGGATAAATAACTACATCCAGAAAATCAAATTGTTATGAATCTAACTGATTTTCTGCCCATCTCCAAATTCAGTTTAGAATTTTACTTTGTGAAATTAAAAATTCTTCATGGATTTACACTGCATCAACTTTACTTACGACCCTGCTAGCCCACTCTGTTCTTCCCACCTTGTTTTTTCTCTGTCCTGTCCCCTCAATTCTTTGCTACTACTTCAATTGTGGTATTCCATCCTTCTGAAATTACTCCACTTTTCTTCCCTTCTGGCTGTTAAACTACCTTCCTTGATCTAAAAAATATTTTAAAGATTAATTTTTTTATTGCTCACATGGTTCACTGTGTTTGTAAATGATTTGGTGATCCCAAATCTCAGTAAAATTAGAGACAGTTTTTTAAACTGTATTTAGTTTTAATCTTGTGGTATCCTGCTAATTTCATTGTGATGTTGGCAAGCAAGTGTTAATGATTTCATAGAATCATAGAGAAACAGGGCTGGAAGGGACCTCTCTAGGTCATCTAGTCCACTCTCTGCCTGTCGCAGGATCATCCCTATCCAAACCATCCCATACAAACCATAATCTGAACTCTGTGTAAAACCACCGTCAACCTTGACACAACACAAACTTAACACCCTAACCTGCAACAGGTAAAGGAGGGGAGCTGTGGCAACCAATGTCCTGCTTCTATGAAATATCAATATATACTAAAGAGATCCTAGGTAGAGCACCACACCTCTCCCCCACAGTACAGAGGAAGGTAAACACCACCAAAGTCTGTGCCAATCTGACCAGGGCTAAAATTTGTTCCTGACCCCAAATATGGCGATCAGTCTGACCTTAAGCAGAGAGGCAAGACAATTGAGCCAGGAACCTCAGGGTTTGATCCCAGCAAGAGCATTAAGACACCCCTGCCAAAGTAGCCAACACCCAATGCTTCTGAGAGAAGCTTAAAAACACCCTGACACATGTAGGAGAAAGCAGGGACAGGGCAACCATCAAAGCCCAGAAGCAAGGGAAATACCTATAGCAAAACATAGACATAGCTACACCTAGATCATCTCCAACCAGTGGCTGTCTAACCTCATCTTTAACACCTCCAGTGATGGACAGTCCACAACTTCCCTTGGCGGTCCATTCCACTTCTTCACTATTTTCACAGTGGAGAAGTTTTTTTTCTGGATAGCCAAGCTAAACTTTGCTGCAGCTTCAAGCCACTGGTCCACATTCTCTCCTCTGCAGTGACAGAGAAAAGGTGCTTTCCCTTTTCTTTATGGCAGCCCTTCAGGTATTTGAAGACTGCTATCTTGTCCCCTCTTACGCACCTTTTCTGCAAGCTGAACATGCCTAGCGCTTCAGCCTCTCATATATCTTGTTTTCCAAGCCCTTTTTCTTCTTTGTTGCCCACCTCTAGATCCTCTCTAAATTCTCCATGTCCTTTTTAAAATTATGGAGCCCAGAACTGTACACACTACTTTAGATGAGACCTAAGCAATGCCAAGTAAAGAAGTACTATCATCTCCTGTGTCTTGCACCTAATGCTTCTCTTGATGTATCCCCAAACCATGTTTGCGTTTTGTGGCTGCAACACACTCCAGATCCATATTGAGTCTGTGGTCTACCTGGACTCCCAAGTCCTTTTCCGTAATGCTGCCATCCAGCCAAGTGTTACCCATTTTATATTTGTGTTTTTGATTATTCCTTCTGAGGTATAGTATTTTGCATTTGTCCACTATGAACTTAATCCTGTTAGCTCTAGCTTTCATTTGTTTTATTTGATTATCAAAAGCATTAGCAAATAGCTGTAAAACATGGGGTTATACTTCTATGAAGACTTCTAAAAGCCAACTGGTTATTGGTAAGTGCAATATTGTTTTATGCTAAATATTCTTTTGTTAAAAATAACAACAACAAAAACTCATTTCTTGAGAATATCCTTTTTCAAATCTTGTGATCTTGTTTACCACAGAAGGTCTTCCTGATGACTTCATCAATAGCTTAGAAATGATAGAGGATGAGTATAAAGTTACCTTAAAGTATCCCCATTATTTTCCTGTTATGAAGAAGTGCTGTATTCCAGAAACCAGAAGAAAAATGGAATCTGCTTTTAATACGAGATGCAAAGAGGTACATCAGTTGTTTGTTGTTTTACCATACATAAAATACCAAATATGTTCTCAAGTGTAATTAGTAGAAGTAGTAGCAAAATGTATAAATTAGTGGTGCTCACTCTCAAGCCCACAGTCCAGATCCAACCTATGAAGCTGTATCATCTAGTTCGTGGGGCTCCCCACAGGTCAAGGTATTTGGCAGTGAGGCAGTGATAGCAATTAACACTGCCACCATTCCCCTGCAGCCAAATTTCTAAGCCCTGCAACCAGATGACATTGATTTGTGCATTGTCCAGCACTTGGGGCCAGAGTGTCAGGCCCAATCCAGCATGCATGAGGCTGCAGTGTGGCAATGGGCCCACTCTGGCGCGTGCAGGGCTGAGGCTGGGGTGGTGGACCCAATCTGGCGCATGCTGGGCTAGGAGTATATATGTTTTTGGACCCATGGATCAATCCGGTGCACTGAATCTGGCCCACAGACCAATGCTGGACCACTTGTCTGGTCCACAGCACAGAATGGTTGAGCACCACTGGTGTAAAACAGCATATCATTCAGGTATGAAGGACTTCATAATTTCTAATAATGGCACTTGATACACTTACTAGAGTTACACCCTAATAGCCAATTATGGTTTATGTAGGTCACTTTTAGAAAAGAATCTATTCTCTTGTGTCTGTTGTTTCTACTTACTCATTTCAAATAGGATGCTTCAGGCAGTATTGTTAAAAATTGGCTGTAAATGGTCATTTCTACCCAGTTAGTTTTTATTGCTATTTTTCCTTTCCAAAAAGTTAATGGAAAGCCTGGACAATTTATTCATTTACTTATTCTTTTTTTCATAGTTTATTTGTTGCAAAAATGCAGTTTGGGAAGAACCAAAGCTAGTCACTAAATTCTAACTGTGAATAATTTTGGCCAAGTATTTTATTTTATTTTTTGTAAATTTCAACAATGTCAAAGTATTGATTTCAGCACATCTAAATCAAAATGTTTCAATTGGGGGTGAGGGGGTTAGGCTCAAAAGAGGATAGTTTAGGTTCATTCACAAGATGGAGGAGGTGATGGTGATAATGTTCCCTCCACATTGTCCAATATACAACAGAGGTCAGAGCTGCCAGACTCAGACTATGGATTTGAATTGAGGTCCCCTACTTTCCAGGAGAATGTCCTAACACCTGGGCTATGAAGGTATTCTTCGGGGTGTCTCTTCCAATTTCTCATGTACAAACTGTTCCACTTTTTGTACAGTTAGTTAAATATACATTAGAAGATGCCCCTCAGTGTTCTACCAGATGAGTGACTTAACCACTAGGACTCCTTATACTGATGGTCTAAAGAACCAGGTTTGATTAAAAGTCTTAGTGTCTCATTTTAGTTTATTAAGGTTCTTTACATTGCTCTAACAGTGTTAATGAGCACTAAAGTGTAGATGAATTTCATTTATGCCAACCTTAAATCTCCTTTATGCAGAAGATTGTAAAATAGACTTAGTATAAGAATCAAATCTTTGATGTGAATCTCTAGGCCTCAGTCTCTTGTTCTCCTGACCAGTGTTAGGTTGGTGTTCTGAGAAGCACCTTATAGTACTAAGTAGTGAACAGTCTTCCAGTTAATGGACAGCAGTATTGTGTTCTAAGGTAAGTCCAATTGAAAATGCTCTTTAACAAATAAAAAGGCTTGGGCAGGGATTTGCAAATAAGTAATATAGAAAGCAGTGAAAAAAATTAAGATTATTGAGTGACTAAATAGCTTAGAGATCCAAACATTAGATGTGCAATCTAGACTCCCTGGCACAACCAATTCAAATTCCATCAGTATGATTTTTTTTGTATGCAAATCTGAATGCTCTCAATAATCATTTATATAGGAATAAAGTTTTGTCTTTGTATCCTGAGTCAAATTTTTCCCTCACTGTGTTTCTGTAGTATGCCCTGCACCAGCATACTGACACTTTCCCCCAAAATAACATTTTCTGTGTGTGTCTGAAGTGCTTTGGGATGGTTCAGAATGAAAGGTGCTATATATGTTTCTATTATTAAATTCAGGCAATTAAATATGGAATAAATATGAATGGAAATGATGCTAATTGGCTATTAATTAAAATAAGCTGTATGTATAAAAGGCTTCTTTATTAAAAAACTGTAAAATTATGCTATAAAAATCATTTAGCAATTAACATCTTTGATAGTGAGGACAAACAGCACCAAGCATATATCTAGCATATATAAAGGCATACACCGTCAAGGCTGAAAAATACCGTTTTAAAATCAATTTCTTCAGAGCCTGACAAAACTTATTCTTCCAAAAGTGGGGGCACTTCAGCAGTTGCTTCCCTTAAGGGCAAAAGAATAGTTATATTCTTAGTTTCTTTACTTAGTAATCCACCCCCATGTTTAACAAGTGATGGGCCTGGGTTTGTTTGACTTGGGATGCATAGTATCCCTTCCTTTTTGCCTGTCTCTTTTTCTACAAGCAGGCAGAATACCAAAATTTGCAAACTGGCCTTTATCACAGGCACAATCTTACCCAGCTGAGCCTTATTTTCACCCATACGGACTACACCACTGGCTTATGATATTTACTTAATTCTAAGGGTTTTTTCCTCCTATTTAACATGGGGGGGAGCCCCTCATCTTAGAATTAAGTACAAGGGCAGTGGGAGCACAGCAGGCGGTGCTGTGGCTTGGGCTCCAGTCCCTACTCAAGGACAGACTGTAGCCACAGCTCCTTCCTACTCCACCCCTACCATCTCTATACCCTGCTATCTTCCCCCCACCCCACACCATGCAGTCTCTGCTCCCCCACCTGCCCCTCTCCCTTCCACCCTCTACCCTTGCTCTGCGCTGGCAGGCTCCATGTATGCCGGAACCTGGGCCACTGAATACAGCCTCAGCCCAGGCCCTGTAGCAGCAGTGTGCACCCTGCAAGGCTGCTACAAAGGATGGGATGGGGCCATGCTCTGTGCCCCAGGGTAGAACAGGGACAGAGCCTGCTGGCAGAACACAGTGGTAAAGAAGGGGTGGGGAGGGAAAGAGGCTGGTAGGAAGGTGGGAGGGACGAGCAGAGATTGGAGGGCAGGAGCAGAGGTAGGGTGTCCATTGGCCCTCTGTTTATATTGGACCATCCTGTTTTTAAACCCTTTGTCTCCATGCATTCCTCAGTAATAATTGTCCATCGCTTGTCCTCACAACTCTGTTGGCTGTGCCTAGAGTTAAGGCAGTGCACAAGCCAGGAGGAGCAGGGTTCCCAGCCAGGGAGGAAAAGAGGGAGGCAGCCTTTTTGTGGTGGCCCTGCCCCTTCCTTCTGATTGGCCAAGGGGCCCAGTGGCCCCACCCCTTGCTGCTCATTGCCTGAGGACACAGTGGCGCCACCCCTCACTACTGATCAGTCCAGAGGCCCACCCCTCACCAAGTGGATGCCCTGTACTCTGGGGGTGTGTCAGTGGTCACCCTAAAGATTAGAAGGGAGAAGAGAGGGGAAGCTGAGGCTGGGGGGAGGGGGGAG